AGCCCCTTCAGGCCCTGGCAGGGGCTCTGAGGTCACCCTGAAGCTTCTCTTGTCCAGGTGAGCACCCCCAGCTCTCCCCGCCTGTTTGGGCTGCGCTGTGTCCCGGGGTGCTGGAYGGGGTTTCTCTGTGTCCCGGGGGTTTCTCGGTGTCCCGGTGTCCTTTCGGTGTCCCGGTGTCCCTTCGGGTCCCTCTCTCTGTCCCGCTGTCCCTTGGGGAGGAGCGGAGGCGCGGCCGCCCCGCAGCGCCCCCTGCGGGCCCCGCAGCGCCACTGCCGGGCCGGGCCTGCCGGAGCCGCCGCGACGGGACGGGAGGGGACGGGAGGGACAGGAGGGGACGGGAGGGGACGGGAGGGGACAGGAGGGGACAGGAGGGGACGGGAGGGGACAGGAGGGGACAGGAGGAGCCGCGGGCGCTGTCCCTCACCTGCGCCATCGCCGGGCGCCGCCGTCCTGCCGATGTTGGGCAGAAGGTACTCGATGTTGGGCACGGACTGCGCCTCCTTCTCATCCACGGGGGTCTGCGGGGCCGCACCGGGTCAGGGGGTGCCCATGGACCCCACCGGGGGCTCTGCGCCCCCCGACCCTCAGCGGGACCCCCGCGGGGTCAGGACTCACCTTCTCTCCCTTGTCCTCCGCGTCGCTGAAGAACCAATCGGACTGTGGGGAACGGGACAGGGGTCAGGGGTGACATCCCCATTCCTGGGGACAGATCCCGCTCCCCGGCCAGGCCAGGGACCCTAAACCTGAACCTAAACCTAACCGAACCCTAAACCTAACCCTAACCCTAAACCTTAAAAAAAAAAACCAATCTAACCCAAAACCTAACCCAAACCCCAACCTAACCCTAAACCTAACCCAAACCCCAACCTAACCCTAAACCTAACCCAAACCCCAACCTAACCCTAAATCTAGCCCAAATCCCAACCTAACCCTAAATCTAACCTGAACCCTATCCGAACCCCGCCCCTAACCCCAAACCCCGCCCCGGGTGTCACTCACGTGCTGGATCAGCGTCTCCACGATCTTGTAGCGGTCGGGCATGTGTGTCACCATGTCGGTCATGTTGTCCTCGGATGTCCTGACCAGCGTGGGGCCGAACA